CCCACTTCAAAGACAGAGATTATCAGACTGGACTTAAAAATAAAGAAGACCCAGCTGTAACCTATCTACAAGATATTCATAAAATTTTAAATTGTTGTTGTTGTTATGTGCCATCGAGTCGATTGCGACTCATAGCGACCCTATGTACAACAGCCCTAAACTCTGCTCTGTCCTGTGCCAATTGCACTGTCTCCGACACTCCCATCCCGATTATCCCAGTCACTGAATCAATCCACCTCATAGAGGGCCTTCCCTTCCTGCGCCGTCCCTCCACCCTCCCAAGTATGATGTCCTTCTCCAAGGACCGGTCTCTCCTCACAATATGTCCAAAGTATGTTAAACGGAGCCTCAGAATCCTTGCCTCCAAGGAGCCACCCGGTTTAACCCTTTCCAGGACGAATCTGTTTGTTTTCCTAGCAGTCCATGGTATTCTCAAGACTCTTCTCCAGCACCCTAGCTCAAAGGCATCAATTGCATAAACTGGTTAAGGGGTGGGGGGTGGGGGGCAAGATTTACCAGGCAAACACAGAGCCTAAAAAAAACAAAATAAAATGTCTAGAATGTCTTTTCTTTTTTTCAGTGTCTTTATTAATATGAGAGAAAAAAAAACACATTAACCCGTGTGGGAAAAAAGTCAATTAATCAAGAAACGATAAAATCCCAATCCTTTGAAGAATAGTTTTGGGCAACAGTCTCCAAAGAACAAGGAGGTATGCATAGAATAATTTGTTGTTGTTGATAATTATATGTTGCCCAGTCAACTAAGACTCATAGCAACCATATGAACAATAGCTCTCAAACTTGCCCTGTCCTGAGCTAACCTCACTGTCTCTATTGCCACAGTCACTGTCAATCTATCTCCTCCAGGGTCTTCTTCTCCTGAACTGGCCCTCCTTCCACACTTCCAAGCATGATGTCCTTCTCTAAGTACTGATATCTCTTGGCCACATGCCCAAAGTAAGTGAGATGGAGTTTCAAAATTCTAACCTCTAAGGAGAGACTTGGTTTCACCCTCTCCAAGACAGGCCTGTTTGTTTTCCTTGGCAGTCCATGGTATGTTCAATACTCTTCTCCAGCACAACACTCAAAGGCATCAATTGTTGTGCCATATTTATGACATTATCCAGCGCTCAGATGCTTAGAAAGCAATTGAGAAGACCATGGCATGCATCAGGCACACCTTAGTCTCTAGACTAACTTCGTGGTTCTTTAGCACTCTGAAGACATCTCTGACAGCAGAATTTCCAAAAGCAACTCTTCTTTTGATTTCCTGACTTCTGGTGCCGAGCGTGTTAATGATCAGAGCAAGATTAAATTGTTAACAACCTTAGTCTTTTCTCCAGCCATCATGCTGCTGCTGACTAGCCTGGTAGTGAAAAATCTTTGTTTTCTTGATGTGGAGATGCAATACATATTGAAGACTGCAGTTCTTGACCTTCTGCAGCAAACGCTTCAAATCTTTTATTTTAATTATTCTTCAAGACATGGTAGTGTGAGTAGTATTTGGTATTTCTATTATGGTTTTTATTTTTTAACAAAGGAAATTGCAAGGAGAGGAATCTGTGAACCAGAACATAAAGAACTAATAGAACCAAAAGCTGGTTTAAGCTTCTAGCTACAGTACCAGCTGAGGTTAAGTGGATTGCAGCTCTTAGTGTGTCGTTAGTAGAGGGATAAGCTTCAAAGAGTTTTCAATAGAAGCAGAAGCTAAGTAAGTGCTGAGTTGCTATTGCAAAGGGCTGCAGTTCAAGCACACTAGAAAAAGATGTGGTCATTGGTAGATCTTCATCAGAGCCTGGGAAATCCTCAGGGTCAGTTCTGTTTTGTCCTACAGCATGGCTGTTAGTCAAGAATCAATTGCACAGCAAGCTGTTCTTATTTAATTCTTTGTTTCTCAGGAGTTCCAGTGGCTATAACCTTTAAGACATAGATCACCAGAGACCTCTATGAGGACTCTCACCATGAACATTTTGGTGAATTTCTGAGCATTTCACCATTGGAGCCACCAGAAGACTCCTCTAGTACATCAGTCAAAGGAAAACACCACCAACATCAGCAATGTCTGAACAAAAGTCAAAAGTCCCTCATGGATTTCTCTCTCCTCCCCCACCCCCTTTTATACCAGTTTACTTACAAAATTCGAATATATTGTTTTTCAGACCAGGTTCTTCCAATTTCCCTCACACCCCATGGACTTCTTTTAGGAGGCTTGTAGGAAGAGGGGGCAATAAATATTATTCAAACAAATAAATTCATAAGTACATCTGCATGGGTATATTTGCATAGATACATTTATGTGGTGGTAAATTTTTTGAGAGTAGGAAGGAAGGGAAAGGCCGAGCTATGAGGCTTAAAGGCAATGTTGTTGTTAGATGCCGTCAAGTACAACTCCTAGTGACCCCACAAACAATGTATCTGAACCCTCTCTTATCCTGTGCCATTCTCACAACCTATGACAGACTTCATTTTAGTGATGTAGTCGCTGTGTCAATCCACCTGACTGTGAGTCTTTCTCTCTTTCACTGACCCAAGGAATATTCTTTCCTAGCAACATGCCCAAAATTTGTGAGATGAAGCTTTATTATCTTTGCCTCCAAGGAGCACTCTGGCTGCACTTTCTCCAAGACATACCAGTTTCTTTCAGCAGTATATGAAATATTCAGTACTCTTCTCCGACATGCTCAAAAACATCATTTTTTTTTTCTTCTGTCATCCTCATTCATTGTCTAACTCCTCAGATGCATAACAATTGACTGGAAAAACCACAGCCTGAATTAGGTGTACCTTAGTCCTCAAATCGACATCAATCTAACTCAGTAATTTAGAGTTCACTGACTGCAGACTTTGCCAGTGCAATATGTCTCCTGATCGCTTGACTGTTGGTACCAAGTGTATTGATTGCAGATCTAAGTAAGATGAAGTTGTTGGCAGCTTCAATAATTTCTCCATCTGTCATGATCTTGCCTACCAGTCTTGTGATGAGGACTTTTTGTCTTTATTTTGAGATGCAACCAAACTGAAGGCTGTATATAGTCTTTGATCTTCTGCGGCAAACACTTTAAGTCCTCCATACTTTCAGGAAGCAAGGTTGTATTATCTGCATGTTGTTGCTGTTGTTACATGCTGTCGAGTTACCTGCAACCCTTAGCAACCCTATGTACATCAGCTCTGAAGCCTGCCCTGCCCTGAGCCAGTTTCACTAATTCCGACACACCAACCCCCAGTTGCGCCTGTTAATGTGTCAATTCATCTCATCTGGGGTCTTCCTCTCCCACACTGTCCCTCTAACCTTCTGAGCACGGTGTCCTCTCCAAGGACTGGTGTCTTCTGGCCACGTATCCAAAGTATGTGAGACAGAGCTTCAAAATCCTAGCCTCCAGGGAGAAATTTGGTTTCACCCTCTCCAAGCCAGTCCTATTTGTTTTCTTGGGGTTCCATGGTATGTTCAAGAATCTTCTCCAGATCCACAATTCAAAAGCATCAATTCTTTTTCTGTCATCCTTAGTCATTGCATAATGAAGATTACTGGTGTCTTCCTCCAAGCCTGATGCCACAATTTTCTTCATAGAGTTCAGCTTCTCAAACAATTTGCTCAGCATGTAGCTTGAATAGATATGGAGAGAGGATACAACTACAATACACAATTTTCCTAGTTTTAAACCATGTAGTGTTCCCTTGCTCTGTTCCCACAATAGCCTCTTGGTCTAAATATAGGTTTTCCATGAGCACAAGTAAGTATTAAAATTCCCTTTCTTAAACAGCCCAAATGTCCAAACACAATTGAGTAGATTAAGAAATTGTGATACATTCACACGATGGAATATTATACAGCACTCAGGAACACCGATTTTGAAAATTATTACATAATTAGTGAGAGACTGGAGAGCATTATGCTGAGTGAACTAACTCAGTCTCATAAAGAGACTGAGTGTGTTATTATTGTTAGGTTCTGTCAAGTTAAGTACAGCTTATTTCTACCCAATGAACAAAAGATCTGAACCCTGTACTGTCCTGTGCCATCCTCACACTTCCTGACACACAATGGCCCATTGCAGCAGTCACTGTGCCAATCCACCCGGTCGAGGCCTCTTCTTCGCCACCCCTCCACCCTTCCCTCTCCACGGAATAGCTTTTCCTAGCAATATGCCTGAAGTATGTGAGGCAAAGCCTCATCATTTTTTCTTCCAAAGAGTACTCCAGCTGCACCCTCTCCAAGACATATATCTGTTCTTTTGGTGGTCCATGAGCTGTTCAGTGCTCTTCTCCAACACCATAGCTCAAAGGCATCCATTCTTCTTCTGTCGTCTTTACTCATTGTCCAATTCTCAGATGCATAGCAAGTGATCCGAAAGACTATGGCCTGAATCAGAAGCACCTTAGTCTTCAAACTGACATCATTACACCTCAATAATTTGGAGAGGTCCTTAGCTACAGATTTTTCCAATGCAATGAGTATCTTTATTTCCTGACTGCTGGTACGAAGGGTGTTACTTGTGGATCCAAGCAAGATGAAGCTGTTGACAGTTTCAATCCACACTCTCCATCCATCATTACCATTATTGTAGAAATAGAAAGTTAGCCAGTAAACGTGTATGTCAAATGCTTTTTTGTAAGGCCATTTGGTGGAGGTAAATTGGAAATCCAAGCCCGACCTCAGATGGGGCGGGGCGTCAAACCCCGCCCACTCCCCTAAGAGACGTCAGACAGGTGGCGGCCTCCCCCAACGCTCGCCCCGCCCAACGCTCGCCCCGCCCCTCTCACGGCCGCCTTGCCCTTCCGCGCAGGCGCGAGGGCCGCGTTGGCTGGAGGGTGAGGCAGGGCGGGGCGGGGCGAGCGCCGGGCGGGGCGTGGAGCGGGTGCTCCGGGCGCTGAGCTGGCGTCGGTCCGGCCGCGCCGTCGCGTCCGTGTGTGGCGTTTCAGACTCCGGCCATGCCAAGGCCGGACCCCGGCCCTTCTCCGGCTTGAGACGGTCCCGCGCGGGCGGCGCAGGACGCTCCACCATGGCGGAGCCCTCGGAGCCCGGGCGGCGGGCGGCGGCAGGCGGCGGGAGCGCGGAGGACGAGGAGGACGAGGAGCGTGAACCGCTGTTGCCCCGCGGCTCCTGGGCCCCGCCGCCCAGGGCCGCCCCGGGAGGCGCCGTGAGGCTGCCGCTGTCCGCGGAGGAGGGCGACGACAGCGAGC